CAAGCAATCATGATCACACAAATTAAACCCTAAACCCTAAACCCCAAACCCTAAACCCTAAACCCTAAACCTAAACCCTAAACCCTAAACCCTAAACCTTAAACCCTAAACCCTAAACCCTAAACAAGAACAGCTGCGTGAGCCTCCAGGAATCCCAGGGCGCTAGCGGCCTCCTGCACTGCTCGGCGCTCCGGCCTGGCGTCTCTCTTTTTGGAGTCTGGTACACATGGGTAGTTGTCAAAATTATGGTCCCTTTTGGGGTACCCTAAATAATAATTAGGTGCCGTATTATAATAAGGACCCAAAAAGGGACCATAATTTTGACAACCATCCACATCTATAATGTAGTACATTAGCATTCGTGTATCTTGGTACAGTTACAGTATCTTATTGTAGTCTATGATGATGCAATTATAGCAACATTCTTCCAAAAACCAGTATGGCACACACTATGGGACGATAACGTTAGGAGAACGGCGGTGAAATCTGTTTTGAATCCTTCGACGCTAACGACTCCTTGCGCGTTTATGGTGCGCGCAGCTTCCACTTAAGAGAATTGGCTTAGTTGGAGTATGCTGAAAGATCAGGCAGGCAGGTATGCTCCTTCTGCAATGCTGAATACTCCTTTCAACAATTCTACCTACAACCAGATAGCCCTGCAAAGAGCGATTGCCCCAATAATGATGTTATGAACTCTGCTTAACATGTCCTGAGGGCCTCAGAAACATCTGTATTAATACAGAAGGGCAGCGTGTCATGGAGCATCTATCCAGAGACGTCGGACAAGTCATGTGCTGCGTTCCATCTCATCCCGAATCCTCATGCTGAGTTTTGCAGAAAGCGGCCTGAATCCCAAATTACATCAAACCCCTGGATTCTGCGTAACGGAGCCAGGTGAACGAATCCTCTGGGCTGTCTGGGTCCGAGTCAGCACCTTGAGACACTCCCAGGCTCTCCGGGAGGTTTGGAGCGCAACTTGTGCAGCTCTCCTAGAGAAGTTACAGCTGTGACACCACCACCAGCTATGAGGAACGAAGAGCCACAGCAGATAAAAGGCTGCTGCGCTTCAGTTATACCACCCGCCGTCCTGGCCATCTGAGAATCCCAGGGATTGCAGTTTGCTGGGATTGAAGCCCAGGGTTAGAGCTCTTTTTCCTTGGACGCCCCGTTCGTGCGGAGCTCTGGAGCCGGGACTTTCAGTCTGACTCCAGTAATTTCGCTGGAACTTCTCGCAAGCCCTCTGGTATTCGGGCCCGCCGTCCCGTGTGCCGAAGACGGCAAGCTGCTACAACTCCACTGTGACAGGATCGACATGCGAGTTCAGGAGGAAACACAAGGACAGAATCGGTACAGTAGTTTCAGAAGCAAAGGGGTTCTAGTATAGACACCACATTTTCGCAAGTTCGGACCTGAACCATAAACCCAGCTCAGAAAAGGAAACCCTGTATTGTGGAAAAATCCTTGATGTGTCGTATACCTCAACCTTGAGACTGCGCCGAATTACCAGTTTCTTTGCCTGGAGAAAGGAATACACACAGTTTCGGACAGCTGATATGTTCTAACTTGACTTTGACTCGGGATTTCTAGCGCAAGAAGTTCCAGGTAGTATTATGCAAGATTTTCAGACAAACAAATTGAAAGCCAGCGCTGGAAGGCACAAGGGGAAGCAACCTCCAGGCATAGCCCTTGAACACTCCTCTCAAAGCCGGTAAAGCCTAAACCCTAAACCCAAAACCCCTAAACCCCTAAACCCTAAACCCTAAACCCTGATCCCTAAACCCTTAAGGCCGAAGCCCAGCCCGGATCCCTTTCGTGCCGAAGCCCGGATCTCGAAACCGATCCACAGCTATGCCGAGGAGTAAGAGCAATATCATTCATATTCATATACATATAAATAAATATATATATATATATATATAGAAATGTTATTCATTTATGTATTTATTTGTTCATATTTGTTTAAGTAGTATAACGATAATGTGTAAGATGCACAAGATATAGTGTCCTAATAATATGTGGGGACGAAGAGCATACAGCTTGTGTTCATCACAAAACCCGTTGAAGTAACCCTGAACTAGGCGAATAGTTCGTGCTGTGAATCACCAACGTGTTGTGGGCAGGGATAGAAGAGGGTTTCGCAGGGCTAAGGAATATGTCTGAGATGCTCTTGATAGGGCCTAGTAGGCTAAGAACCCTAAGCCCTTAAAGCCTAATCTTAAGCCTGAAACCGTAAACCCGAAAATGGACTATGGGGTGTCTGGTGCTAGGGAAGCCCTCCAGCAGCCGGCGATTGGGCGCAGGATTGGTTGCCTGCAACTTGCTTTTCTGCTTTCCTACGTAAGATTCAATGAGGATCCTACGTAGACTGTCTGGGGTCTATACCACATTCGGATCTGTGACCAACTCCAAATAGCTCCCGTTTGGGATATGTGAATCTGCACCTTTCGTCAAAAATCGGCATATGACCGCAACCATTGAATTAGCGGGTTGAACAGCCTAGGCAAGGCCTTCAGTCAAAGGCTTCAGTGAAGTTTGGCTTCATTGATAGGCTTCAACAAGGCCTCCCGTGGGCCGCTCGACGGCTAGAAGAGCCACGGCATGCAAGTTGTCAAGTGCATCAGAACGTACCACTGCGTTTGTCACTGTCGATCTGTTGGTACCAGTACCAGAGCCTCGCAGGAGTCTAAGTTCTTTCACGCGATGGTGAGCTGTATATTCGGATCGCTGCTTTGAGACCAGGTCGACAATTCTTGTTCTGAGCTTGTCAATATGAGGGTTTCCGAAAATAGGGGACCCTAATATAGTACCCTAAATAATAGGATCCCTATTATAAGGACCCCAAAATAAGGTACCCTAATTTTATGAAACTCCCATATTTGATCGTAAAGCCCTCCTCTGGGGCGATGCACAATTCCATCTTGAGGCCATAACCTTCACAAGATCCTCCATGGCCATGGCCTCCTCACCAGTATCACAAGGAACCCCTCGAGCAACTTTACGAGAACGGTCTTAGGACTTATTCTTTTTCGGCTCTTAAAACTTTGATTTCAGGGTCCCGCTTCCTTCACTGTCGACTGTGAGGCCGGCAACATTGAGATGAAGAGGCCTAAATAATTAGAATAGGGATTTGG